TTTTTTTTTACATTACATTAACAATCTAAATGGAAAAAAAAGACTATAAAGAATCAATGACAATGTGAGCAAATGGTAATTATTGTTTTTTTTTTTACTAATAAGAATTCCCTGCACACACACAGGCTGTGCTTGCCTGCTCACAGAAAGAGTGGATCATGGTCATGTTGGTCAAGAATCTCTATGGCAGGTTCAGCAACTGAGGGAGCTGATTCCAGAGTGATCAACCTGTGCCGTCAATCCCGGCGCGTGCGCGCGGTTCATTTGCTGTCTGGACGCTGAGGGTAAACATGCTGTGTCTCTGACTGTAGTGCTGAGAGGGACTCCTGCGGAAGCGGGAGAACGGGGTTGGGACGGGGTGAGGCGCCCCACGGCAGACACCAGAAAAGTCGCTAGATTTGTCGCTAGTCGCTTTTTTGAAAAAGAGTCGCTGGAGGGGTCTGAAAAGTCGCTAAATATAGCGACAAAGTCGCTGAGTTGGCAACACTGCGTCCGAACAGAGTTTAGCCGTCAAGCTGAAGATCTGGCCTTTGAGGCTGAAGGTTAGAGAGCTGATAGAGGTAAAGATGGAATTTAGTTTCTTAAAATTTAAATTATAAACGCTGGTTTCAGTGAGCTCAACCAAAGACATGGATTGTATCAAAACAAAGAGAAGCTTAAAGACGCGTTGGAAAATTAAAAGACGCTATTTTCATTAACCATAACATACCGTAACAACTCAGGTATATTTTCAACAATCCCGGCTTGTCTGTTCCTTAAAGTTTCTTTTTCTAATTGTTTACAGCAGCAGTGCAAAAGTTGCATTTTCACATGATCTAAAAGGTCTTTACCTTATCACCTTTTCGTGACTTTACTTCTCAACTATTTTTCTGAACAACAAAATTAAAATTCCCCCAAAATGTTTTCATAAAAAAAAAAAAAGTTATCGGGCGTGCAGGTGAAGCAGTTGTTAGAGCGCACCACCCTTAGTCCTCGACACGGAGGACCCGGGTTCGAATCTGAACTGTGGTCCTTTGCCACATGTCTCTCATACCCCCTTTTCCTGTCAGCCTAATGTTGAAAAAAAAAAAGCCACTAGTGCTGTAAAAACTCACAAGTTGGAATCACATTTAAGAAACAGGAACAACACTGTATATATCCCATGCACCTTCTTCTTTTTTGACTATTTGAGCTGATGTAACAAATACATCACATCAATAAAGTCAATCAATCAAGTCCAGGAACCCAGAAGAAACTAAAGTTTTTATTGGCTTATATAAACATAATTTGGGCTAAAATCTCATTAAATCTACTATAAAAGCAAATATTGAGTAGAATAAAACTGATTTATACTTGATGAAGATGAGATAAAAAATGATCGTTTAAGAGTAAAGAGTTTCTACAAACTCTTTATGGGGAAATGTACTTTTTGCAGTTTTAAAGTAGTTTCCATATTCTGATTGTTGGTCTCAGAAAGTCAACTATATCTATAGTGCAAATATTAAATAGATTCGCTGTTTTATCATCTTCCATCTTTACAGTAAGTCCTTCACACTGTTGTTCCTGAAAGAGGGTCTGAATTGAAAACCTGTCACCTGATCACAGCTGCTCGCCTAATCAATTATTAAAGCCACATGATGCAGGAGTTATTTTACAAATCTGGTTGCCTGTAAAAGGTAGTGGTGAACCACTGAAGAGAATAAAGTTTCATTTTCTAGAAATGTACTGCATCTATCAAACTGTCTACAGGCCACCAGTACATCAGAGGGCAGCGCTCCATGTGCAGAGGGGCAAACTGCAACCCTGCAACCCGAAGTAGTGGATTTAAGAGGACTGAGCTGATGTAAAATCAATCTGGATGCAGGTTACTTTCATTTCATCCAAATAGATTTTTTTCCTAAAGTCTTTTATATTTATTCCACCTTAAAGGATTCCGGCCAATTCCTGATTTCCCGTCAGTATTTTCAGTCCTATTCAGCCTGATTTTAAGACCATACTCCTGCTTCTAGAGTGGTCTCATTTAAAAGCTAAAACTGATCACAGGACCAAGATGAGCTCTGCGGTCTGTCCCTGTGCCTTTGTCTTGGGTTCGGGATACCTGTGGTTCTTTTGGTCTAAATATAGTCTCTTTGAAGCCAAACCTGATCAAAAGCTAATGAACATGAGGTGTTCAAATGGAAATCAGAGGCTGCAGGTATGTGCTGTGAAACACAGGGGGGTTTAAAACCAGCAGCACCTTAAAACGGAAACCAGGACTGGTTTGGAGGCATGAAAAAAAGCCGAATGGGGTCAGGAGGGCAGACAGTCGAGTTATCTGGAACAAGATAAGAGCAGTGAGGCTCTGAGACCAGAGCTAAACCAGAAGGGAGGTCAAAGATCAGCGTCTTGCTTAAGGACTTAGTCAGCTGTTGTCTGATCCACTAGTGTTTCCGTTGCTGTTTAATCTGAGAGGAACGACACTTTAACAGGTTTATATAATTATTCTGAACCAGCATTCAGCTTCCAGGCATTCAGCAGGTTTGGTTTCTTTGAATTCTGAACTTAAATGATTCTCCTCTGCTTATAGCTTCTATGCTAATGTTGTGCCATATGCCAGGATCATGGTTTTTGGACATTGGGAACTGGTGTCCATACTTCATCTTGACATGA